TGTTCCACTCTTAGCAATAATATGCTTTAATCCCAAGTTTGTTTTCAAGTCACTCCTTTTTCTCGGCACATTCCCATTTATAGAAGAAGCATCATTTTAGGTATTTCAGCATCATTCAAAGACCTGCTGTATTGTGCAGAGCAAAGTAAGACTTGCTGTTGCCAGTGGAGACGACAGTTCAGGAAGGAATCTCCCTGGGAATTTGCCCTCGAGGTTGGCGTTTTCATCTGTTCCTCCATTCAGGCTGTGCCTGCCCCACCCCCATCCCCCAACCACAACTGGGCGCAAGGGTCTGGGAGCAGCTCCCTCTCCCCCTCCTCTGAGCAGCCAACACCTGACACAGGTGTCTGTTGGAACAGTTGTTAAACTTTAGATTCCATGAAACTAGAGATACAGATGCAAATTTGTGATTTCTAAAATGTGCACATGTATATGTGTTTGAATGTATACTTGTATATATACACACAATATATTTGATCCCTAGCTCTGTCTGCTGGAAAGGTCAAGAAGAAAGGACATTTTAGCAGCTCTTGGATCTTGGTCTGTAATTGCATTCCCCAGAGTTCCACAGAGAAATGACTAACCCCGAGCTGGGGCAGGGCAGGTACAAGATGAGCCTGGAACATGTGGTGAAGCTAGAAAGTAAGGGAATGTTCAAAAACCACATTGAAGGCATGTCACAGGACAGGGGCACCAGCTTGGAGGGGCTCCCAGTGGCCAAACTGGGGAGTGTTTGAGCACCAAAACAATCACGTTGAGTAATAAACCGTAAGCCCTGAAAAACAGACATTTGAGTCCACACTTACTTAGGAAGAAGGGAAGACCTTTGCTGACAGTAAATGTCTGAAACAACCATTGAAGAGGAAGTTTTAGAATTGGAAAGTCATCTTTTGCAACCATCCCATTAAAGACTGGATCATTCCATCATTAAGCATTGCTGAATTTTGGTAATGAGCAAGATATTTGTATGGTGTCAGACTATCTCCCCACAGACTGCATGTTAGTTGCAAGCAAAACTTAAAAAAATACCCAGTAAATATACAGTGGAGAAATTGGATCACACCCTGATGAGGTGATCAAAATTAACATCACCAGGGAGGGATAGACAGGCATCAGGTGTCTCCACATGCCTTACTCTAAGAAGGAACTCCATATGCTCTCTGCAGTCTTTTGGCCGAGAACGAATAACCAGAAACTAGTCACAAGGAAACATCAGACAAATGCAAAATGCTATTTTTAAAAGGGCGTGTGGGGAGGAATGGTTGGTCGTATTCTTCTGATGTCAATGCGGTAAAAGATAAAGAACACCATAGAGGCGCTCTAGATCAAACGAGGCTAAGGAGACATGACAGCTAAATGCAGTCTCTGACCCCCAGACTGGATCCTGTGCTGGAGGGGGAAAAATAGTATAAAAGGATATTATCGGGTCTACTGAGAACATTGGAATGTGAACGCTAGATGAGAGAAAATTCTGTACCGAAGTTAAATTGAGGCGGGTGACTATATTGTGATCACGTAAGAGAATATCTCTAATCTTACTGAATATTCTCTGAAGTTTTTAGAAGTAAAGGGCTGGGACAAATGTAACTTATCATCAGGAGTTTGCGGGGTGGGGGGAAACCTCTGTGTGTGTGTGTGTGTGTGTGTAGAGAAAGAGGGTGGGAAATGATAAATGAGGAACAACAAAACAAACGTTAATAGGATAATCTATTAAAAGACACATGGGTGTTCTCTATACTGCTGATTTTAGAAAAACTTGCTCTAAGTTTGAAATTCTTTCCAAATCCAAAGTTTTCTTTTAAAACTTAAGACCCTAGGCCTTGAAATTTTAGACAATGTGCAAAAATAATCATGAGGAAGAAAAAAAACATCTGCATGCACAGAAATGAAGTCTTTCAGAAGCCTCGATAAACTGCTAACTGCTGATAGCCATAGAGGGATTTGTGGATGACAGAGTTCCTTTTAACTTTGCGTTCTTCTGTTATGTTTTGTCGTGTTTTTTTTTTTTTTTCAAACCGGAGTCAAGAAAAATTGTGAAAAACATTGAAATAAAAAAAGACGATTGGGCCTCCTAAATCCATAACCAGTTTCATTGCCCTTGAGATACTGTGCAGCTCTGTCAATTATATTATTAAGAAAACTGATCATAATACATGTGATATTTGTCCTTAGAAACCAAAATAAACCCTGTCTGGTGGAATACACTTGATTCTTGCCTGTGGATGAACTAGTCTTGTGTTTCTCTTTGTAAACTCTTCAGCACCTGTGATCGCCTCTGTAAGTGGGGCTCTTTGAATTCTTCTCTGAATTGGGTATGACAGCTGGCTGGATCCCTCCTTAATTAATGAGTTGTACATGTTCAGTGGTGTCCAGCTCTTTGCGACCCCATCGGATGTAGCCCGCTAGACTCCTCTGTCCATGGAATTTTCCAGGTGAGAATACTGGAGTGGGTTTCCATTTCCTGCTCCAGGTGGGTGGGTCTTCCTGACCCAGGGATCGAATCCATTGCATTGACAGGTGGATTCTTTACCAGTGAGCCACCACGGAAATCAATTAATGAGTTAAAAACACTAAATATATATTCAACTTATGTTTGTATGAAAGTTATGCTTTACCTATTTAAAAAATTTTCCTTTAATACAAGTGTTTGTTACTTTTATAATTCAGGTAAAGCCTGGAAACGTTATGAAAGTATTCCAGAGACTCCCCAGAGATCTAACTCAGATCTGCCCTTCCGGTTGGCAGTGTTGACTCCCTGATGAGCGCAAAGCCAAACTTCACACATCAGCCAAGCGGGGACACCCCGGGAACCCACCCCAGCCTTCCCAGGAACTCTGTGCCTCAGGTGACTGGGGTCCCCAGTCCCCTCAGTACCAGAGTCACTGGCTGACAGGGAGGGCATGGCCAAAATCAAACTACCATCCTAGGGAAAAAGAGCTATTTATGTTTCTCATTGGCGAGGCCTCTCAGAAGGCAATACATCCTAGGCTAATTTTCTTTCTGGATGTTTCAAGGATATATGAAAAAGATGCCAATGGAGAGTCACAAAAATAGAAGTAAATGTTAAACATTTATGTTGAATCCACAAATGTTTTAATACAAATTCAGTAACAGCAAAATATAATTTTATGGTTCATTGGAGCGGAGGTGTGCTCTGGAAACTGGCTGTTTCCTGCACACCCACCATCTATCTTGTGCATACAACCTCACCAGATTGTCCAGATTTGAGGTCTCCTGTCCACCTGCCTCTTATACCCACAGGCCCAGCCTGTTGACAGGCACCAACTGCTATCTGGAAAAGCAGTTTCAGTTTTGTGTACTTACTGTGTATTCAGCCACTTGACTGAACCAGGAGCACTTTTTGGTTGCTTCCCAGGGAAATTTTAAGATGACCCTATCTTTTGCCTTCTCTTTCCCAATAGTTATAATTATTTTCTCTCCTGCCTTTTTGCCTTGAAATGTAGCAGAATCCTGCATCTAAATCTGTTTCTTACCTCATTGGGAAGGGCTGTTATGTATGTTGACTATTGACTTGAGATATTTTAGCTTTTAAATGTGTCTTTATTACAAAAGCAAAAGTATGGTCAGGAAAAAAAAAGACTTAAAAAATAATGATTAAGCCCCAAGATGGTGGGGAGGAATAAAAAGTCATTCATTTTCTCATTTATCTCTAGGTCAGTGTTGTGTTAACACTTTGGTATATGTCCTTAATAATAATTAAGATTTTATTAAAATAATAATTATTGCTCCCAGAGCACATGGCACTTATTTATTATGTGTCAATCATGGTGCTGAGTATAGGAGTGACAAGCATTATTTCAGCAAATCGTTCCACGGTACCTCTCTATAGTATAGATATGATTACCACCACTTCACAGTCAATCCTAAAAGAAATCAACTCATCTCCTTATATTCACTGGAAGGACTGATGTTGATACTTTGGCCTCCTGACGTGAAGAGCTGACTCATTGGAAAAGACCCTGATGCTGGAATAGACTGACAGCAGGAGGAGAAGGGGGTGACAGAGGATGAGATAATTGGATGGCATCTTGATTCAATGGACACGAGTTTGAGCAAACTCTGGGAGACAGTGAAGAACAGGAAAGCCTGGCATACTGCAGTCCGTGGGATCTCAAAGAGTCGAACACGACTGAGCAATTGAACAATGGTTAAGGACACAGACTGAGGATATTTCCAATTTACCTAAGATCATAGGCTAATCAACAGCCATGAAGAGCACCCAGGGTCTCCCTTACGCCTAAGCTCCGGCTCTTATCTACATTACTATCTCCTAATACAAAGCTTTTTTGAAAATAGATTTTTAAAACTAAGCTAGAATCCTTCTGAACGTATTATTCTTTATCAGCTTTTACACCTAATATATTATTAACATCTTCAATGTTATTTATTATTCCTCTACAGATCTAATGGCTGCATAGAGTTTCATTATATGGATATGTTTGATTTATTCTTAAATGGCTCCATATCAAAACAAGAAATAAAGACCAGTCATGAAATATTTAAACAATAGTAAGAATATAAAGTAGCAAATGCAAGTTTTCCTTTCCATCCTGCTGAGCCCCACTTCTCAGAGGAAGTTACCATTAATAGTATGTGTTTGCTTTCCCATAGTTCTTCTACGTAACTTATTATAGGTGATGTAAGTTCAGTTCAGTTCAATGACTCAGTCATGTCCAACTAATTTTCTCTAAAAGAATGGGTATACCAATCTACTGCTTGACTTGCATACATAATATATCACGAACATCATTCCAAATCTATCCAACAGTTTTTTAATATTTTATCTTTTAAAAATATTTTTTAAAATTACACTATAATTGATTTACAATGTCGTTCATTTCAGGCATACAGCAAAGTGAGACAGTTTTACATGTGTGTGCATATATATAAAGAGTGTTGTTCAATTGCTAAGTTGTGTCCAACTCTTTGTGGGTCTATATATATAGATTCTTTTTTAGATTCTTTTCCATCATTGGTTATTACAAGATATTCAATATAGTTCCCTGTGCTATACAGTAAATATATATACTGTATATATATATATTGACTGTATACTTTAGCCATTCATCTCTTGACAAGTACTTAGATGGCTTCCATGTCTTGGTTTTTGTAAATATTGCTGTTATGAACATCGGGGAGCATGTATCTTTTTTTAAAATTGAAGTATAGCCTTTATTTTTGGGCTTCCCTGGCAGCTCAGATGGTAAAGAATCTGCCTGCAATGTGGGAGACCTGGGATAGATCCCTGGGTTGGGAAGATCCCCTGGAGGAGGGCTTGGCAACCCACTCCGGTATTCTTCCCTGGAGAATCCCATGGCCAGAGGAGCCTGGCGGACTACAGTCCACGGGGTCGCAAAAAGCTGGACACAACTGAGCGACTGCGTGCTGGGTTATATTATTGCTGTTCAGTTGCTAAGTCATGCCCAACTTTTTGTGACCCTGTGGACTGCAGCACACCATGCTTCCTTGTCCTTCACCATCTCCTGGAGTTTGCTCAAATTCATATCCACTGAGTCAGTGATGCTGTCTAATCATCTCATCCTCTCTTGCCCTCCTCTCCTTTTGCTGTCTATCTTTCCCATCATCAGGGTCTTTTCCAGTGAGTTGGCTCTTCACATCAGGTGGCCAAAATATTGGAGCTTCAGCATCATCAGTCCTTCCAAAATATATCCAGAGTTGACTTCCTTTAGGATTGATTGATTTGATCTCCTTGCAGTCCAAGGGATTCTCGAGAGGCTTCTCCAGCACCACAATTCAAAAGCATCTGTTCTTTGGTGCTCAGCCTTCTTTATGGTCAAACTCTCACATCCATACACGACTACTGGAAAAACCGTAGCTTTGACTATAGGGATCTTTGTTGGCAAAGTGATGTCTTTCCTTTTTAATATACTGTCTAGGTTTGTCACAGTTTCCTTCCAAGGAGCGAGTGTCTTTCAATTTCATGACAGCAGTCACCATCCACAGTGATTTTGGAGCCCAAGAAAATAAAATCTGCCACTGTTTCCACTCTTCCCCTATTTGCCATGAAGTGATGGGACCAGATGCCATAATCTGAGCTTTTTGAATGTTGAGTTTTAAGCCAGCTCGTTCACTCTCCTCTTTCACCCTCATCAAGAGGCCTAGTTGCTCTTCACTTCTGCCATTAGAGTGGTATCTGTATAGCTGAGGTTGTTGATATTTCTCCTGGCAATTTTGATTCCAACTTGTGATTCATCCAGCCTGGCATTTCATATGACGTACTCTGCATAGAAGTTAAATAAACAGGATGACATTATACAACAGCCTTGTCATAACCCTTTCTCAATTTTGAACCAGTTGTTCCATGTAATGTTCTAATGGTTGCTTCTTGACCTGCATACAGGTTTCTCAGGAAACAAGTAAGGTGGTCTGGTATTCCCTTCTCTTTAAGAATTTCCCACAGTTTGTTGTGATATACACAGTCAAAAGCTTTAGCATAGTCAGTGAAGCAAAAGTAGGTGTATTTCTGGATTCCCTTACTTTCTCTACGATCCAGCGAATGTTGGCAATTTTATCTTTGGTTCCTCTGCTTTTTCTAAACCCAGCTTGTACATCTGGAAGTTTTTGGTTCACATACTTCTGAAGCCTAGCTTGAAAGGGAAAGATATATCCAACTGAATGCAGAGTTACAGAGAATAGCAAGGAGAAATAAGGTCTTCATCAATGAACAATGCAAAGAACTAGAGCAAAACAACAGAATGGAAAAGACTAGAGATCTCTTCCAGAAAACTGGAGATATCAAGGGAACATTTCATGCACGGGTGGGCATGATATTGGACAGAAACAGTAAGGACCTAATAGAAGCAGAAGACGCTAAGAAGAGGTGGCAAGAATACAAAGAACTATACAAAAAATCTTAATGACCCAGATAACCAAAATGATGTGGTTACTCACCTAGAACCAGACATCCTGGACTGTGAAGTTAAGTAGGCCTTAGGAAGCATCACTATGAACAAAGCTAGTGCAGCTGATGGAATTCCAGCTAAGCTCTTTTAAATCCTAAAAGATGATGCTATTAAAGTGCTTCACTCAATATGTCAGCAAATTTGGAAAACTCAGCAATGGTCACAGGATTGGAAAAGGCCAGTTTTCATTCCACTTCCAAAGAAAGGGCAATACCAAAGAATATTCAAACTACTATACAATTGTGCTCATTTCACATGCTCATTTTGGTTATATACATATAAAATATATTCAAAATATAGTTTCTTTTTCAGATTCTTTTCCATTATATATTATTACAAGTTATTGAATATAGCTCCCTGTGCTATATAGTAAGTCCTTGTTGCTTATCTATTTTATAAAGAGTAGTGTATATCTGCTAATCCCAAACTCCTGATTTATCCCTCCTCTCTTCCCCCTTGGTAACCATAAGGTAGTTTTCAATGTCTGTGAATCTGTTTTATAAATAAGTTCATCTGTATCATTTCTTTTAGATGCAACATATAAGTGACACCATATATTTGTCTTTCTCTGACTTCACTTGGTATGAATGTAGGTCTATCCATGTTGCTGAAAATAGCATTATTTCATTCTTTTTCATGGCAGAGTAATAGTCCAATGTGTATATGTGTGTGTGTGTGTGTGTGTTTGTATAATCTCACATCTTCTTTATCCATTCATCTGTTTATGGACATTTAGGTTGCTTATATGTCTTGGCTATTATAAAATAGTGCTTTTATGAACATTGGGAGCATGTATCTTATTGAATTAGAATTATCTTTTTGGATATATAATCCAGGAGTTGGATTACTGGATCATATGGTAACTCTATTTCTAGTTTTTTAGGAAACCTCCATACTGTTCTCCATACTGCCTGCACCAATTTACATTCCCACCAACAGTGTAGGAGGGTCCCCTCTGCCCCATACCCTCTCCAGCATTTGTTATTTGTGTACTTTTTGGTGAAAGCCATTCTGACCAATGTGAGGTGATATCTCATTGTAGTTTTGATTTGCACTTCTAATAATTAGCAATGTTGAGCATCTTTTCATGTGTCTATTGGCCATCTGTATGTCTTCTTTGGAGAAATGTCTACTTCTGGATCTTATGACCATTTTTGATTGGGCTGGTTTCTTTGTTTTTCATGTTGAGTTGTATGAGCTGTTTGTATATTTTGGAAATTAATCCCTTGTCAGTCACATCATTTGCAGATATTTTCTCCCATTCCACAGGTTGTCTTTTCACGAGCTTATTTTTGTATATGGTCTGAGTGTGTGTTCTAACTTTATTGATTTATGTAGAGCTGTCCAGCCTTCCCAACAGCATTTGCTGAAGAGACTTTCTTTCATTGTATATTCTTGCCTCCTTTGTCCGATTAATTGACTATAGTTATGTGGGTTTATTTCTGGATTCTGTTCCATGGAGCCATATGTCTGTTTTTGCGCCAATACCATGCTGTTTTGATTACTGTAGCTTTGTAGTATTGGCTGAAGACTAGGTCTCACTTCCATTTTCTATTTCTTGAAGAATACTTCATCTTTGTATTCTGTCACTCCTGTTAGATATTTTATCTTTGGATTATACAGAAGATCTAATAGCAGCTCTTTTGTGATCTGGGTTTTTTTTTTTAAACATCCTATTCTTGTTTTATCTCCCTAAGGATATTATGTTTTGGTGAAGGGTTGTTTTTTAATGGGCTTCTCTTTCCTACATTGTCTCTATCTCATTTCTTTTCTTTGGCTGGTTGATTTGGACTTTTCCTTGAAACTTTATTTTTTTTTTAAGCTATTATATTTGCAAATAGGGGAGTTTGTTAGGACTAGTGAAGCAAAGGCCTGGGGAAATTCGTATCTAGTTTCTTTTACTTGTTGGAAGCTCTGCTGAGGGGTCCTGGCTGTCTGTGCTCGTGTGTGTGTGTGTGTGTGTGTGTGTGTCTGTGTCTGAGGGGTCCTGGCTGGCTGTGCTCATGTGTGTGTGTGTGTGTGTGTGTGCGTGTGTGTGTAAAGGCCCAGGACACACTGATCAGTGGGTGTCGTTGTAGGATGTTGGAACAGTGACAGTCTTTACAATGAGAGATATGTGGAGGTCTTTTCTCCGGAGCCAATTTTTCCAGTGAAGAATGTCCCAGCCATCCATCTGGGGAGCAGACGCCTGTTCCTGGACATTCTGGGAGCCGTGCAGGTGCTGGTGGGCTGGGCGCTCGAGGGCGGCTCACCTCATCCCTCCCTGCTCCGTATAGACCTGTACCTCTCAGAGCTCTGTTCTGCCTGGTGTCCCCACATCCAGAGCCTACCTGGCTCGATTCCTCCAGGGGATGTCCAGCTCCTTACAAGGTGAGGTGGCAAAGAGGACTTTTCCCTGGCTGTGCGGAACACAGGGAGAAGGCTGGAGTCTGGTTCCCCCATTTCCAACCTGGTACCCTTGCTTGAGGGTTTCCCAGGTGGCTCAGTGGCAAAGAACCCACCTGCAATGCGTGGATTTGATCTCTGGGTTGGGAAGATCTCCTGGAGAAGGAAATGGCAACCCACTCCAGTATTCTTGACTGGGACATCCCATGGACAGAGGATCCTGGTGAGCTACAATCCATGGGGTTGCAGAGTCAGACATGACTTAGTGACTAAACAACGACCCTTGCTTGCCCCCCATCACACTGGGGCCCCACAGGGCTAATCAGTTCATTTCTGGTTCATCTCTTCCTCTGCCAATTTAGTCAACTACCTTTCATCAACTTTCAGCTGCCAAAGCCTTTCAAGTTCTCTTAAATACTGCTGCCTCCTTCCACATTAATTCTGACCTTATGAGTGACAATCTTTTTGGTCCTTTCCTGTCAGTATAGTGGTGCTTGCAAAGGAAAAGAGATGAATGCATGTCATCAATATACCTTGTTTAATTAGAAGACTATTTCTCTTAAAAACCTAATCTTACTGATTCAGTATTTTTTAAACTTTCTGATAGAAATACCAAGTAAACATTTTTTTAGTGATCTCTAGTTTTATTGATTCAAGGTACAAAATGTGGCCCAAACTGTTTCTTTGGCCGACTTTCTGAGGTTGTCCTATCTCGACATATGCAGTCAGCTTTGGGTAATTTTCCAAGTATACTCAAAAGAAGGTGTGTTCTCTCTAGGGTAAGAGCTTGATGTATTCCTGTTTATTAAACTTTATTATTAAAACCCTATGAGTTCTTAATGTTTCTTTGATCTGTCATAAACTAATACTGGTGGTGTGTTAGTCTCAAATGCAATTGTGTTTTTGCCGATTATTTTTCCTCTTGCATTTCTGGCAGTTTTTGCTTTCTATCCAATGTTCCTTAATCCACATGTGGAAGTTCGTGGCTCTTACAGCTTCATTATAAGTGCCTCAGTCAACATGAAAAATTTTTCTGTTGCATCTGGTGCTATTTCCTTGAGTTTTGTATTTACAGAGCATCGCTCCAGCAGAGGGACCAGGGTCAGCGCTGCAGAAACGCTGAGGCAGCCCATGGTTTGGCAACGAGGTGGCAGAGGTGTGACAGATAAAGCAGGTGACAGAGGGCTGGGGAAAGGGCAGGAGGTGAAGACGGCAGGTCCCTGCAGACAGTACACTTTAAAAAACGCTGTCTGAGGGAAGAAAAGCTGCCTGGAGCAGGTGATGAGCAGGTGGAGAGCTGGTGTTCTAAATGCTGTGAGCAGCAGCAGCAGGTGCTGCAGAGTGAGGAGGGACGAAAGCAAGGGGGTAGCCGGGGCTGCCTCTCCCGTCGCCCCTGCAGGGATGGAACAGCACGGGCAGGGGTGCCCAGCTGGCGGTGAGCAGGGCAGAGGGTCACTGTGGCACCACCCCCACCCCCGCCCCCGCCCCGTGGGGTAGGAGGATGGCTCTCAGAACAGTGAGAGGTCTGCGAAGAGGTACCACGGTGAACAGGGCAGGAAGGCCTCGCTGAGAGGGCAGATGGGAGCCCAGGGGGCCCGGTCTGAAAGGAGAGTGTTTCTTTCTCCTGCAGTCCTCACCTTGTGAGGTGCAGCCGAGGGGCTTGAGCACTGGCTAGCTCCCAGCAAAGGCCCTGGTTCAGCCTTGCGGGCAGGAAGGAGGTCACGCACTGGGGCATCGCAGGTACCAGAGCCTTTTTTATGTCTGGCTCAGTCACAACCTGCTGGTGACCCTGGACCAACCTCCCTCCCTCCTGTGGCCAGATTTCAGGGGCTGGGGAAGCATAGTCTGGCAGGAGTTGGTGTCTGCTAGAGGGGAGCCCAGGGGGTCAGGCTCTGGGGGACTAGAGGGAGCAAGGGACCCCAGTCCTCCTTCCCTGCCCTCAGCTGCCACTGGGGTGAACCAAGTGCTGGGGTCTCCTGGTACAGAACTGTCAGTCTATGACTTGGGAGTCACCCCACAACTTGGGAGTCACCCCACGACTCGGGGGTCACCCCTGGAGAAGCTCGAGACACAGCTGCATGGAGAGGCGAGGCAGGCTTAAAATAGCTAAATAAATCTTTAATATTTCTAATTGCAAATGTACAGAAATTGCACAGCCACACAGTCTTAGAACACCAACAACCTTCTCTGTACATTATTACATAGTTAGAGTCGCAGCTGGAGGGAGGCGCTCTGGCCAAGACTCCAACGTTTGCATTTTTTTCCTTTTCACATACTTACAAAAGGCGGGGCAGAAGTGGAGTAGTGGGGCTGGGGGACTGGGGGAGTGTGTAGAAAAAGAGGGGCTGTTTCCCTGGGGTCTGCCTTACGCAGACGGATGGGGTGGGAGTGGGTGGGAGGTGTTCGCTGGGGCAGATGCTCTGCAGGGTGAGGGGGACGCCTGGAGCTCTGCCCTGGGTTCCCCACCCCAATTCTGGGCGGTTGGAAAGAGTCTTCACTTATAGGAAGTTTGGCAGTTTCCTTCACCCTAAACATCAAATTTAGGCGGAAAGAGTCAGGCCTCTGTTGGCAGGAGAGGGCCGGGGGAGAGCCTTCTCTGGCGGCAGGGCAGCTGGGCTCAGGACCCCTGCCCTCCCACCCCTCCCTCGGGGATGCAGGTTCAGGGTGACCCAGGAGGGGGCGCGCGTTCCCCGGCCACCCAGACAGCACGCTGCAAAACCCCAACCCCCAGACCCCCGGCCTGTGCCTCCTGCCCAATACTGTCCTCTAGATTAAAAATAAAATAAAAAACCATCGGAGAGCAGCGGGCCCGGGCAGCCCTCGGCAGCACCAGGACTGAAGGACTATGTACAACCATTGGGTGAAATAGTTACATTACAGTCAAACACCAAGAACATTTACAAAAATCGTCAGACTTGCAGTTCAGATAAAAATCTGTGGAGAGTCTGTACACTTTTACAGTTTTTGCACTAAGTAGATAAGGCTCTCGGCCCGAGAGCTCGCAACCCACGCCAAGGGCCGCCAGCACCGGCCTCCGGAGCCCGGCTGTGCAGGCCCTGGGACCCTCCCCCTGTATTGCTAAGAGGCGCTCAGTTCAGTCCGAGGTCGCTCAACGAGGCATCGGCGGGAGAGGGGTGGGGAGGATTCGCCGGGCAGAAGAGGGGTGCAGGCAGGAGAGGGGTGCGTCAGAACCAGAGGCAGATGTCCCTGGGGCCAGGCCCTGCCTATGCGGCCAGAGGAGTGGGGCAGGGCCTCCACCCCGCCACGGCCTGCCTTCCTGAGGTCTGTGACCTTTTGGGGGGTCCTGCCCGCTCCCCACCAGCAGGTCTCTGGGCTAACTGAACTGCAGGTTCCACCCCAGGACAGGGTGCAGTGTGGTCTGAGCCACCCATCCCCCTGGTGCTCCCCTTCCTGGGGGAACTCTGGGTCCCGGTGGAGCAGCTCCCGCCCCAGACGCAGGAAGGGGTATCTCCCCAGCTTTCCCACGGCTGAGGGTAGTCGGGGTGGCTCCTGGCTGTGGGATGGACGCCCCAGCTCTGGCCCCGAGATTCCCCAGGGTCAGGGGTGGGAACAGGGACGAGAGAGACCCACGTTCCTGCCCATCTATGTCCCGCAAGGGCAGCAGGGGGCAGCGGGGAGGGCCCACAAGCTACAGAACAGCCTGGGGCTGAGGGACAGCGGCCCCAGCCGTGGGTGGGCCCCTCCCCTGTCTGCAGCGCCTGGGTCCTCGGCGGGCCCGGGAGGGTGAGGCAGAGGCCGGCCGCACGCACGGGGGCGGGTGCAGGCTGCCGCGGTCTTGGAGAGGGAGCAAGTCTAACATCCTCCAGGGCCGCTATTTCCCATGCAGTGCGCACGCTCAATTTAAAAGGCCCCTGTGTTCCAGCAAGCGAGCTTTTGTTTCTAATGCATACTGTGAAAGGAAAAGAAATCACAGTTATCCACCTTCTCAGGGCCTGTGGGCACTAGAATTCTTTTTCTAACCATCCACCAGGAAAGCTCAGCCTCTCTCGGGAGGGCGGGGGGGTGGGGTGGGGTGCGCCTGCTGGCCACTCCCTGTGGGGCCACCGTGCGGGCACGCGGGCTCTGGGAGACAGGTGGCCACCACTACAGTGCCACCTGGGCCAGCTCTGCCCACATCTTTGGCTTCGGGGGGGGCCCCAGGGCATCAGCCTGGGCACCCCGTGGCAAGTGAGGGAGGCTATGATCTTCCCATGGGTACGAGGGCCCAGAAGGAAGAGCTGAGATCCTCACTAGGTCTACAGACTGTCTATTTGACAGAGTTAGGGCGGGAGGGGGCGGGCCAAGGGGCTGGGGACAGGTGTGGGGGTGACGCCTCGGCTCCTCACAGCCAGGAAGGGGCCCCGAGCATGCAGTGGCAGGTGCTCAGGGTGGAGACAGATGGGGGGGACACAGCGCTCTGGCAGCTCCGTCCTCCCCACCCTCTGCCTGCCTGCTGACCACCCTGTCGGCTTCTGGAACCGAGCAATAGGTCCCACAGGGCAGCTCCTGGCTGCCTGGGAGTCCTGGGTCCCTGGGAGGTGAGGGGAAGCCACGGCAGGAGGCCCCTGGCTCTCTGACCCTCCAACTCTCCGGGCGGCTCCCCCTGTGCGGAGGAGGTGTGTGTGGGGGGGTGGGTACATGCACTCGGCCAGGTCAAGGAAGAAAGGGGACGCGCACCAAGTTCAACACCCAAAACAGAGACGCTGCGGCCGGCCCCTGCCCCCGTCAGGCTGCACCCCTCCCCAGCCTGCACCCCACGCGCTTCTCGGGGGAGCGGGCCGGCGTCCCCCGCTCGCGCTGCGTCAGTCTCTTGCGGCTCCCTCTGCGGCCGCCTCATGGGCCGCGGGTGGAGGCAGGGAGGCGAGCCTCGGCCTCTGGCCCCCTGGCGCTGCTCCTCCCCAGGCCGAGACCCCGCCCTGGGCCACCAGAGTCCTCCCCTCCTCGGGCAGGTTAACAATTGCTGCTGTTTCGGAACTCGCCGTTCTCGGTAATCTGCAATTTGGTGGGGTTGGTGGGGGAGAGGCCGTTACGGGCTTGCATGCTGTACCTCTCTTTGAGCTGGGTCAGGGCGCTCATGAGGCGCGCGTTGGCCGCGTCCAGGGAGGCGATGCGCTTCTCCTGTGGAACAAAGAGGGCGTCAGCTGGGGTTGAGGGCTGCTGGGCCCAAGGTGGGGCGGGGGGTCCGTGCTGGGAAAGGGGTCTCCCCGGAGCTGTGGCTGCCTACAGGGAGGAAGAGCAGGGGGAGGGGTGGGGGAGGCGGCCTGGAGGACACCACTGGTGAGGACAAGCACCGCGGATGCAGCGTTCCTGAAGCCGGGAGGAGGACCTCGCTGGCCCGGCTTCCTCGTGCCTCTACCTCATTACCTGCTTCTCACCCTGACGAGCGGCCCTAGTGGTGTCATGTACCAGCTCCCTGAAGCCCTGAGGGCAGGCACCCTCCCTCATGTGCGTGTGCATGTATAATGCAGAGGTCACAGCTCCCATCAGCCTGTGCAGTTTTCTGACTGAGCAAGACCTGGGTGAAGGAGACTGGAAGCCAGCCTCTCAACTGTCTTCCCCCCCTCAACGCAGTTGGGAAGCCAAGGGTCTGAACAAGCGCTCCCGTGCTCCGTCTCCCCAGCCTGCTGTCATCCCAGCCTTCCCCATTCCCTCCCAATAACTTCTACTCTGGTCAGAACACCTGGTGAAAGGTAACCCCTAACTAAGCTGCCCAAGAAGGGGAGGAGCGGCCCCGCCCTTTTCAAAGCCTGTCCTAGTGAGCTTGTGGTCCACTGAGACCCTCGACTTGACTTCTTGGGGCAGAGATCCTGATCTCCTATCCTCCTTTGCTTCTGCAGTGGGGTACGACTGAGGAGGTGAAGAAGCCAAAGTCACCCCCTCCTAATCCCAGGTCCTTTAACACCTGTGGCTGTCCGAAAGGCCAGGGCCCCACACCTGAGCATCAATGATCTTCTGTTTGGAGTCTACAGCTGCTTGCATCTCCGCGTGGTCCTTCTTCAGCTCCTCCTCCACTGACATCAACCTGTTACCAGAGATAAGGACAGTCAAGCTGGCATTTGAGGGTGCAAGTGGGGGGGTGAGCGGGGCCTCGTGGGAACAAGTCATCACTCCCTCACAGAGGGGGACACACTAGGAGAGCCCCTCCTTGGGCCACAGACACCTCCCACACTTGCCTGGGACGGAGGCCCTCCAGCTGGCCTCCACCACCCGACACGGGCTGAGCCTGCTCCTTCCTTGCGTTTCACCCACCCCAGATTCTGTCCCCAAATCCCCAGAAGCCCTGGGCGTGGCCCCCTTCTGATGTTCTTCCAGGAGCCGAGGGGGTGGGGGCAGGTGTTAGATCCTCACGCACCCCAGGGCCAGGCAGGTGGTGTCACATCATAAGGCCTGTGGTTTGAGTGGGGAACCGAGGCCCTGAAGGGCTCGAGAACTTTCTCCACCCACGCTGTATTCACTGAGGCTGCACAAGGTACGCGAGGTGGCCAGGATGAAGTCACAAGGTGCAGGGACACAGGCAGGGAGGCAGTAGCTACCCTCTGCACGGGAGGCTGGGGAGCCGCGGGAACAGAGAACAGGAAGCGGCTAACCGTCTTGGAGGGTGGGGTGTAGATGCACCCGCTAGACTGGACACCGCAGGACAGGTGAGGGCTGTTGGGTGGGTAACGAGCTGGGATGACATGAGGATCACGATGTCCGAAAGTTCAGAGCGAGGGCCAGCGTGGGCCTGCTGCCAGCTGCTCCTGCCCTGAGACCCTTCTTAGTCTCATCCTGCCTGTCTCTCACACACCTGTCAGCCACTGCTGATCACTCCCAGCTCCTGACTCCACTCTCTGGGTCTGCATCCTAGCTCCCTGGCCACTGCTCTGGAGACGCCTTGTCCTGTCTGCCCCGAGGACCTCAGGCTCCCCAGGGCTCTGCCTCAGCCCACCATTCTTTTTGCTCTACGCTCTTCTCAGATGAGTTCACTTACTGCTTTGTTTGGGCTTCCCTGCTGGCTCAGGGGTAAAGAATCTGCCTGCAATGCAGGATGGAAAAGGCAATGGCACCCCACTCCAGTCCTCTTGCCTGGAAAATCCCATGGACGGAGGAGCCTCGTGGGCTGCAGTCCATGGGGTCGCTACGAGTCGGACATGACTGAGCGACTTCACTTTCACTTTCACACACTGGAGGAGGACATGGCAACCCACTCCAGTGTCCTTGCCTGGAGAATCCCAGGGACGGGGGAGCCTGGTGGGCTGCCATCTATGGGGTCGCACAGGGTCGGGCATGACTGAAGTGACTTAGCAGCAGCGGCAGCAATAGCAATGCAGGAGGTATGGGTTGGGTCCCTGGGTTGGGAAGATCCCCTGGAGGAGGACATGGCAACCCACTCCAGTATTCTTGCCAAGAAAAATCCCATGGACAAAGGGACCTGGTGGGCTACGGTCCATGAGGCTGCAGGACAGTCAGACACGACTGAGCAGGCAGCTTTACCTCTGTCTCTGCCCTCGGGACTTCTTCAGCACAGCACAGCATCTAACCCCCAGACAAGCACTCAGTCCATTTCATAGCAAACGCACAAAGGTCAATGGTGCAGGGGCAGGTACCACACAGGACTATCATGAAAAGCCAATGGGATTGGCGTTGAGGAGGAAGCGATGTGGGATCCTGCCAAGGTCGGGGGTGGGGTTCCTTTGTCACAGGAACGTAAGACACTGAGCAAAGCCTGGATGAAGACGAGGAGGTGGACGCAATGGAGGAAGTGGGAGAAACTTCTGTTCCCAGCTATGGTGGAATAACAGGCACCGGATTCAACCTCCTGCCACAGAAACACCAAACTAGAAAACGGAACAAAATAAATGAAACAAAGGTTTCCAGACACTGAAAAACAGGCAGCGCAGTATAGCACGTGACTCCCAAGAGATGGGAACACTCAAGGGGAGCCCCGCCCACTGCTGAGAGTGTCCAGGCAAAGGATGGATGTGATCAGAGAGAGTCAGGAGACCTGGGAGGGTGGGGGGTTGGGGTGGGGGAGGATGGGAGGGTGGAGGTGGGAGTGGAGAGGAGAAAATGCAGAGGAGACTCTACCTATCTCCTGAGGGGTCCCCTTGGGGCTTTGGCTGAGAACTGGTCTGCATGCTTGTGAGAAAACAGGCCAGAGCCACTGGAAAGGAATACACAAAACTACCCCTAAAATAGTTTACGATCCTTCCAGGCAGTAAGAACACTCCTGTGTTAGTAAACACAGGAGGCATCAATAGAATCCCCAGAAGGAAACTGCCTCAACAGCAGAGCCAGATCAGCTCTGGATTAAAGACTACCCAAGACCCACCCCAACAGAGCTTACAAAGAAACCTCGAAAGAATCAAACAAACTCTTTCAACTCCATTGTGTCCCAGAAGAAAGCCCCCAGGTACTTCAAGGGGCTCAAGACATCCAGCAGCTACATAAAAAAATCACAGTGTCTGGCATCTAACCAAAAATCACCAAGCATGCAGAGAAATGGGAAAACATAACCCTTAACCAGGAAGAACATCAATCAAGACAGACCTGGATATGTCAGATGACAGGATTAGTAGGCAAGGACATTTAAACAACTGTTGTAAATATATTCTACGTGTTCAAGAAAACAGAGGAAAAGCATGGGCAGGATGAGAAGAGAAATGGATGGGATTTAAACCAAACTGAAAGTTTAGAGGCAGAAAATACATCTGAAATGAAAAAAATACTGGAGAGGAGTAACAGATTAGAGACTGAACAACCTGAACAAGGATTAACTTGAAGACACACTGTAACAATCGAAGATAAAATACAGGAGAAAAATTTTAAAAATAAAACAGCACCAGTAGGACGTGGGACAATATAAAGAAGACCAATATACGTGCAATGAGAACTCCAGAAAATAGCCTGGGGAGGCAGAACTCTACACCCACAGATCCAAGAGCTTAACAAACTCAAGAAACATGAAGAAAACATGTCAAGGCACTTCATAATCAAATTGTTGGCAATCGTCGATAAAAAAAAAAAATCTTTAAATCAGCCAGAGGAAAAGTGATATCAATACATTAAGTATAGAGGAACAAAAATACTATCAGGCCCCTGCTCTTACAGGCAAAATCATGTAAAGGCAAAATCTTGTCCACTGCTAGTTTTGGTAAACAGCCACACCACGCACATCCTTCTAAAACAGCAGAGGTACACAGCTGTGACAGACATCCTACAGCCTGCAAAGCCTAAATACCTATTATCCACTTCTTTACAGAAAGTTTCCAACTTCTGCCCCTCATGCAACAAGATATAGCTAATATGCCAATACAGAAGGTAAGATGGAATCATAAAAAGAACTCAGCCTAGAAGAGGGCAGGAAAAGGAACAGTCGGTACAAAGAGAAAACAAGTAGCAAGATAACAGGTTTAAACATAACTATATTGACAATTACATTAAATGTAAATAGTCTAAACATTCCAACTCAAAGGCAGAAACTATCAGATTAGATAAAAAGCAGGAACAACAAGGTGTCTGTGATAGAAACTCACTTCATGTAGTGAGCAAGGGACATAGCTTTGTTGAAAGTATAAGGATGAAAAAGGATATAATGGGCTAATGTCAATGAAAAAGAAGTTAAGGGTAGTTGTATTAATATCAAAGTGGACTTCACAGA